ATCGCTTTCGTCCTATTGCCATCGACTCCTCTGGACTCAAATTTGCAATCTGTTATTATTGTTCCCAATGACCACCTCCAGTTTCCGTACAACCCAAACAGATGCATTTGGATGCCGTCTCTTCGTTGATACACTTTATCTGCAGAAATGTGGATGATTCTCAAAAGTCGGTTCGTTGTGTTATTCTTAAATATTCTTCCGCTTTCGATTCCGTTGCATGATCTCTTCTTTTGCAAAAGTTACAGTCATTCGATTACTCCATCAGCTTATGGTTGAAAGATTATTTCACAGGAAGGATTCAAAGAACAGAAGCAAACGGCACTATTTCAAAAACCGTTAGTGAATAATTCTGGATTCTTTCAGGATGTTGTGCTCTCTCCTTTCTTATTTCCAACCTTCATCAGTGACTTACCATCAATCCCACCAGCCAGGACTTTTTAATATACTGATGGTGCGATCTCAAGTTAAGCCATTTCAAACCAATCGGACATGGAATCACTTTCCGACAGTTTATCACAAGTGTAATCATTCCCAAATCAATCCGATCTCCAGTTGACTACTTCTAAATGCTTTGAATGCATATTTGGTCTTTCCCGATCCGATTATCCCTTGGAACTCTGAGTCATCAATTCCGTACCCGGGACCATAACACATCACCAAATACCTAAAAGTCACCATAGATGGCGATCTACGGTGGTCCTCTCATGTGCTTGCTTGTGTTGGTAGACTGCGTCGCCTATCTTTTCAAATACGCAAGCTACGACAATTTCACGTCAGGCATGAAACTGTATGTTCCTTTGTTTATCAATATATTTTTCCTGACATTCTTTATTATTCGCCTGTTATTTTTCCGGGACAACTGAGAAGGAATTTCATTACTCTATGTCGCAGTTTGGTAATTATCAGCCGTGTTTGTCTTATTCCTGTAGACACTCTGATCACAAAATTGTAGAATTTACATATCACTTTATGTGACAATTTCGCTCATAAGATACTCAATGATCCTAGTCATCCGCTCAATCCTGATTTATCTGCTTGCCGTTCCCACACGCTACAACCCGATCCAATTTTCGCTGCTTACCCTCCCGAATAAACATTTATCGCAACTCAACGGTCCCCTATCTGGCTCGTATTCTCACTGACACGGTGAGGGTCTGTAACGAACTAATCTTAGATCTTCAAAGATAAACATCTATTTAGTTTCATCATTGTTGTATACGGATTTTCATTTCATTCTTTTTTTATCCCATTGTAACGGTGGACACATTTTTGACTGAAATGTAGGCACAGTTGCCCGCACAAGCCATCTTTACTACAATACAAAACAATACAGTATCTCATCACTGCTAGCATATCGTTTACGTTCAGGTTGGTTTATGTACGCTGCTCGTGAAAAATTTCCGGACTGCCGGTCCTCAACTATGTAAAATCACTGGAAACAGGAAGAGATTTGCTGATCGTTACTTTTCCGACCCTAAACTGGTTCGATTCTATACTGGACATCACACCTGCAGTTATTTCCATGAGGGAACCGCACTTGAAAGAAAAAAATTAGCCGGATCGCAAAAACGAACGAAGAAAGCGGTCATACCTCACACATTTTTAGACAAGCCATCGCGGTGTTCTTGTCCGGAAAGACGAAAAGTAGCTCCACACCAGCATCCACATGCGCGAATCGATAACACTGCATGGTGGCTCGTAACGCAGATTCCTCCGTGCTGTTAGTTGTTTTAGCTGACCCAGAAAGCATAGAGACGGTCATGTGTTCCCCGGGCTCAGACAACCCGGAGAAAAAAGGATCCATGATATCCGGAATGGGACTGGGTTTTCGGGTGTGTTGTGCAACGGTCGTTGGAGCCAGAGGACGCCAATGAGGCAAATCTTGTGGTACCCCTTCTCGGGCCCAAATAAGCCCGGGGAGAGGGAGAATCACGCACGACGAGGAAGTTACGGATACAGGTCCAGCTTGTGCATCGGAAATGCTGTATCCAGACCGAGTGGAATTGAGAGAACCATCCCAGGTGCGACTGTCATCCGTCAAATCGAGTAGGCTGGGATTACGAGAGGCAGCTACCATGTCTGATAACTGCTTAGCACTCTGTATAGTTAGGTGAGGAGGGGGATTAGTAAAAAGCGTTACGTAATAATTGCATAACAAAAATAAGAAAATTCGGGCTGTTGTAGACGGTTAAAATAAACATAAACGTACAAGCGATGTGGAAGAGCGACTAGAGTGGAACTTATGTAATCTAATATTCTCAGGCACTTGGAACGAACACACACATTGTTATTGCCGAGTGGAGAAAACGTGCCTGGATGAATGAATAAAGTTCCCTAGTTTGCGAGTGTGGGAATGAGCAATTAGCGATCACAGTAATCAATCTGACCACGCTTAGGTCAAGCCACACATCGCATCCTGTCGTTCGATTCACACTAGACCGAGACAAAGGATGTGAATAACGCGGTCCATTTGCGGACAGACACGTGAGTGATAATCGACCGAACTGCAGCCATTGTTCGAAAGTGGAGAAATGGTGCTGGTCTTCTAATGACTAGTCACATCAAGGACGAGAGCACCGCAAAAAACGACCTATGCAATAGGCGACACCGGCGCACCCGTGAGAGCAAACCAACAGGGATGAGATTGATCTGGCTCCTCAGCCTATCACCTGCTGAAAACAGGCCTCATTTGTGGAGGCAGTTAAGGACTGCAGTAACTATTTAGTGTAAAAATAACTAAAATAATCTGTCGAAGACCTCAAAGACAAATAAATATGTTATCCGAAAGTCGAAGAAACGCAAAATACAAATTACATTAGTTCAACAATGTTCGTAGAAACTGGCAAGCACAGGCGATATAGTGCATGTTCAAAATGTGAG